TTTGACATTAAGTTGGTGAACTAGTAGCTTCGTCGACATTGAAATATTATCCAAACTAATTGGAATCATTTTTATAGTAAGAAAGTGAAACAATGAAGCAGAATAATGATGAATTATAAGACATTAAAGTGGTTTTTGAGGCTAGGTTGAAATTTTGACCACAATGGGACTTCTAACGTAACTTTTGGCATCAGTCCACGTAAGCTCTCCAAAAACGTAACCTGAAGACTTCGTTGACTTGGGACTCAAAGTCATCTGAAATGTCTTCACTTCACCAACCTCGTTAAACTTTAGCTGTTTCGGTTCCACGGAGATGCTTACTCCAAGTGGCTTTCGGACATGAGCATTGTATGTTCCAGGTGGTCCAACGTTCGTGAGTTTACGGGTGACGGTAACAGAGTTCGTGAGGCTAGGGACAGTGATCGAAGGGTAGTTGAAGTCGAGAAGATTGGCTCCTTGGCGACACATGTATTTTGGATCCTCGGCAAAGAGTTGAACTACTGTTTGGTTGTAACCGATGGCGCAAAGGAAGTCTAAGTAGTCACTAGTTGTGAGATCATAGACAAGGCCAGGGTGAGAGGCCTTATTGGGTTGGACATGGCCTGAACCGTAGCTGAAAGGAGTTGCTTTGTTGAAAGATTGATCAACCATAGCGTTTCTTGTGTTATCTCTGACTCTTGCAGTTGTCATGATGGCAGATCGGATTGCGGCCGGGCTCCATTGAGGGCGAAGAGTCTTCAAGAGACCAACGATACCGGAAATGTGAGGACAAGACATTGAAGTTCCTGATTCGGTATTGTAAGGAGTTATGCGATGGTCAGAGTCTAAATCCGTAGGGCTTGTGGCTTCCGTGAAGGCGGCTATGATGTTAACACCGGGGGCAGTGATGTCAGGCTTGAGAATGTCCGGCGTGACGATGTTAGGTCCTCTGGAAGAGAATGAGGCCATGAAAGGAGCAGGCTTTGTGTTCAGCTTACTAGCTGGTGCCCTTATGTAACCTTTGGGATATTTCGTTGAACCTAAGTACGAAAACACAGCGACACCATCTTCGTAGTCGATTTGAGAAGCAGGAAGAACATGGGCGTCTGAGATTATCTCGTTTCCGCTTGCCTTGTCATTGCATAGTATCATTCCTGCAGCTCCAGCAGCGGCCGCTTGTTGTCCCTTGTCCACACGTGCGTTGTCTCCTCTTAGACACACGACGATCTTCCCTTTTACTTTCTCCGCGTCTAAACTATCTTTCTTGCATAGCAATCTATATATATATCAAACACTCGTTAGTAACTTACCTACATTACAGAATCCCAAAAATGGAAGTAGGTTTTACTTACGCTTGTGTCGCGGACACATTGGCTGCTTTAGCGTCTGCGGCGCTGATCAAGTCGTACATCTTCTTTTCGGGCAAAGCCTTTGAGAGGCTCGTTCCCTGCGTTCCAAACTCAATTACTTGTAGCGGAAGCAATAAAGAAAGTTATAAAAAGGTGGGAAAAGCGAAGATATAAAAAAAAAAACCTTGAAGCGTTGGCCGTTGCTAAGCTCAACAAAAGCTTGAAACTCTCTATCCATGGAGCTAGCTCCGACTGTAATAATCCACGGTGCGACATTTGATACGGTTCCGGCTTTAGGACCCGAATTCCCAGCCGAACACACAACCGTCACCCCGTTTTTGACAGCGTGGAAGGATCCAATGGCTATACCATCGTTCATATAATCTCCGGAATCACCACCCACTGAAACCGAGATAACATCCACACCGTCATTGATGGCTTCATCAAACGCAGCCAACATATCAGCATCAAAACATTCCGCCCCGCGCACAGGCGGCCAGCAAACCTTGTAAGCGGCGACTCTAGCTTTAGGAGAGCCACCGCTGGCTGTCCCGTTTCCGAGGCCAAAAACATTGGCCCCTGAAACAAAGTTACCGGCTGCCGTGGAGAGAGTGTGGCTACCGTGACCGTCGTGGTCACGACTGGTTTCGAAGGTAGCGTTGGAAGGAAAGCCAGTGTAGGCTAAGTAACCTTTGTTGTAGTATTTAGCACCAATGAGCTTCCTGATTATTACATGTGACCAATTAATCAGTAATCTGCCTAATACTATAATGGCAAAAAATCAAATTCAAATTAAGGTTTACAAAGTAAAGAAGATGAGAGAACCTGTTGCAAGGAACATCCTTGTGGCAACTACCTTTCCACCTAGCCGGAACATCTCCATACCCTTCATCGCTGAAGCTTTTTGACTCGGGCCACACACCTTCAACGATGTACATATATCTTTCAATAGTTAACATGAAAACAAAGAAAATTATCAAGGACTATACTATCAAAATCGTCTTTTTATCATGTGAAACTTAAGCATTCAACTTTTTTTCCATTTCAAATAAAAACCTAAAAAAAATTAAGGAGATTATATCAAACATAGAAAAATGGTCAATATTTTTGAACTTAACAAAATAGTCGAAATT